TGGGCCAAAGATGTCTAGGCCACGCCTGTGGGTGGGCCAAAGATGTCTAGGCCACGCCTGTGGGTGGGCCAAAGATGTCTAGGCCACGCCTGTGGGTGGGCCAAAGATGTCTAGGCCACGCCCCTGGCTGGGCCACGATTGAGATGTCCAGGCCACAGCCGAGATGTCTAGGCCTCACATGGGGGAAACAAAATAAAAACGACGAGCTATGGTCGTGAAAGTAGGTAGACACAGAATCTGGAGAAGGTGTGAGAGTGCACCCTCCTTGAGGGCGTTATTGCCCCGCTGTCATCACGGCAGTGGGAAAAAAAAAGCAACAACGAAAAGAAAAAAAGCAAGAGCAACAATGTCATGGTCGCGAAAGCAGATAGATGGAGCTTTGATTTCGGAAAAAAAAAAAAAAAAAAAAAAGGTCGTGAAAGCAGATGGATACAGAAGAACAGAATCTGGAGATCGTGTGAGACTGTGCCCTCCGGGAGGGCGTTATGGCCCAGTGTTTTTTCTGCTGAGGCCCGTGTTAGTTTTGCCTGTTCAAACTCAGCCGTGACCCACCTGCCTACTGAGTGATGTTTTTGCTCATTCCGAACAGCACCTGTGACTTCAACGTTGCCCGATTTTTTTTCCTTTTTCCTTCTTTTTTTTTTCCCCTTTTGCTCCATTCCCTTTTCGATCCTTGGTGACCGTATAGAGAGTTTGTGAGGTGACGATGGGGTGTGATAATGTCTTGGAAATTGTCGATTGCCTACCATAGATGGGAAGTTGGGACATGACAAAGGGGAGGTATGAGAGATCCCCTAGAGCTCGGCGTTGCGGCTGTGCTAAATTGCGGACAAGTCCCAGGCTGGGGGCTTTCATTAGGAGTGCTTGTGGAGAAGCATATACACATCACTCAGGATGGACTTCGTGGTGAACCTCGAGAAATCATTGGGGAGCACAGGGAGATGGAGGACGTGGTACTACACGACTCTGGATCTTAGGTATGCCTCGTTACTCACTTCTCTGCACCAAACCGGCAGGGCGTTAGATTGACGCACGGCTGGACACACACCCCCTTGGGCTGACGCATGGTACTATTCCAGCCACTGCCTGCGCGCCACCCAAGGGTAGTCCATGGTGTTGTGTGTCGGTTCTGGGTTCCGCAAGGGTTGCTTGGGGGTGTTGGTCTTGGGTGTTCTGTTGATCTCCCCAGTCTGGCATAGCACACGTTCGTGCCATTTCCAGTAGTTGTTCATACGGTAGAGTCGTTGATTACATGTTACAAGGTCATGGGTTCGAGCTTGGTTCGGACCTTGGGGGGGGTCCTTGTCCAGCTTGCCCCATCCTCTCCTCGATATACACACATGATGCTGTCTGTACATCTCGATACATAGATTCACAGAGCACACACAGCCTTTGGGCATACACATAGCTTGCAAAGTAAATATCACCTA